GCTTAATGATTATCTAATGTACGTTAATGGTTAGCTAATGTCTAGTTAATGATTATCTAATGTACATTAATGGTTAGCTAATGTCTAGTTAATGATTAGTTAATGTACATTAATGTTAGCTAATGTCTAGTTAATGATTATCTAATGTACATTAATGGTTAGCTAATGTCTAGTTAATGATTAGTTAATGTCTAGTTAATGTTAGCTAATGTATATTAATGGTTAGTTAATGTCTAGTTAATGATTAGTTAATAAACGTTAATGGTTACCTAATGTCTAGTTAATGATTAGGTAATGTACATTAATGGTTAGCTAATGTCTAGTTAATGATTAGTTAATATATGTTAATGGTTACCTAATCTCTAGTTAATGATTATCTAACGTACGTTAATGTTAGCTAATGCACGTTAATGGTTAGCTAATGTCTAGTTAATGAAAGGTAAATAAATATATAATAATGATGAGGAGTAAAAATAAAATATCTGGTTCACCTTTTGATAAGCCTGGTAGTTAAAACCCGGAGATAATGAGGAAGTAACCATCACTTAATTCTCACCTGGAAGTGTTATGATTCAGTAAAATTCATCCAGTGGTTATTAGAGTTATTTTTGTAACAGAAACGTGAACACATACATGTTATTCTGTGGCCTGMGAACACTTTGGGGTCCCCTAGGGGGTCTGGAGTTCCCTGCTGGGCCTGCTGCCTCCACAGATCAGGATGGATGGATGGTACCATCAACACAAACTCCACTCTCTCCTTCATGTTGGAGGTGAACGACGCTCAGCTGGCTGCAGCCTTCATAAATATAATCCTCTAAGCTGGAATGGGTCTGAGCCATTACAACAATATTATTACCCAAATCAATGCTTCCTGGCACGCCTCGGATATCATCCCTCATTATGATTGGCAATATTTCTCCCCGGTTGGCACTTTGTATTCACCGTGTGTGCYCGAGCAGTCAGGCCCAAAGCGAGGTTTAATGATAGCACCATCTGGGAGGAGGCAGACGGCTGCAGGCTGACACTGTCTCAGTCAGGAGAACCCGTACGAGAATGTAAAACACGCGCAGCAACAAGCACGCAGCAAATTATTTAAGACTTGTTTCTGTTAATTATTCTGTTGTTATGAGCCCGAAAGGTTTCGTTTTGGCAGCACGTTGGGGGGTGAAGGTGGGGAGCAACACGTTCACTTTATTCTCACTCGGTTTTATGAACCTGAGTGAGTCTGACAAACTGTTATGGCTGCTCATTACGCAGAAATAGCTCTGTTAATTGGTTTGTCAGGAGTCCAACACGGTTTCCAAGCTTTGCTGACTCAGTCATAAAGAGGCAATAATGGGCTTGACGTGGCAGAACTCGCCTTCATTACAGCAAACGACTCGTTAGGAGGTGCTTGTTTTCTTTTCTTTTCTTCTTTTTGTTTGTGGCAGCYCGTTAATCAGAAGCTTTTGTTATTATTCCGTCACTTTTTACAAGCCGTACGTTACGGAGAAGCTGTTAAACCCGCRGCCCTGTTGGGTCGGGCTCAAACAGTCGAGCCCACACCCGGAGCTCTTTTAACCGCTTTAAAATGACATTAAATCACAYATTTAAGTGGGCTGCAGTTTTCAGGAAGCAGCGCGTTATGAAATTAAAAGCTAAGTGATCTGAGCGTGTTTTGATTCACGTTTAATGAGCCGACACTTCAGGCGGAATTCAGCCGTCGTTAAACAAAAAGGTCGAAATAAACGATGAAAAAAATGACCGCTCGGTCCGTTTTCTGCCTCTGGAGGCTTTTTGTGTGGAGGTRCTGCAGGGGTCCGAGGTGTCGGGGTCACGTTTATGATTTCTGCAGARGAGGTGGTTTTTGTTMGCAGCTGAAARGAGTTTCCTCTGAAACGAGGCTGGACTCAGGCTCACAGAGGAGCTGAAGCTCCTCCTRGTCGGAAACGAGGCTCGGGGTCCGTGTGCTTACTGCTCATTCGTTTTAAAAACATGTTGAAAAGTTCTTCACCTGTTGGAGAAAAGCTCCATGAGCTGAAAACAGTCGAAGCTCCAGGTTAGCTTGAATCATCAGTGAAACAAACTAATGTAAAACTAGTTAGCTAATGTTGATTTATCGTGTTAGCCTGGTTAGCTTGTTATAAAGTCAAACGTTTATTCATCCTGTTATCAGACCATATACAGCYGGTAAAATAAGTATTGAACACGTCACCATTTTTCTCAGTAAATATATTACTAGAGGTGCTAATGACATGAAATTTTCACCAGATGTTGGTAACAACCCAAGTGATCCATACATACAAAGAAATCAAACCATAAATGTCCAGAAATGAAGTTATTTGTAATAATGTGGAATGGCACAGAGAAAAAGTATTGAACACACTTACTGAAATTTATCTAATACTTTGTACAAAAGCCTTTGTTGTCAATGACAGCTTCAAGACGCCTCCTGTATGGAGAAACTAGTGGCATGCATTGCTCAGGTGTGATTTTGACCCATTCTTCCACACAAACAGTCTTCAAATCTTGAAGGTTTCGTGGACCTCTTCTATGAACTCTGATCTTTAGTTCTTTCCATAGATTTTCTGTTGGATTCAGGTCAGGTGATTGGCTGGGCCATTCCAGCAGCTTTAGTTTCTTTCTCTGAAACCAACTGAGAGTTTCCTTGGCTTTGTGTTTGGGCTCATTGTCTTGCTGAAATGTCCAGCCACGTTTCATCTTCATCATCCTGGTAGATGGAAGCAGATTTTTATCAAGAATGTCTCTGTACATTTTTCCACTCATCCTTCCTTCAATTATTTGAAGTTTGCCAGTACCATATGCTGAAAAACAGCCCCACACCATGATGTTCCCACCTCCAAACTTCACTGTTGGTATGGTGTTTTTGGGCTGATGTGCAGTGCCATTTGACCTCCAAACATGATGTGTATTCTGGCATCCAAACAGTTCAATGTTGGTCTCATCTGACCAGACTATATTCTCCCAGTATTACACAGGCTTGTTTAAATGTTGTGCAGCAAACTTTAAAGGAGCTTCAACATGCTGTTTCTTCAGCAGTGGAGTCTTGCGTGGTGAGCGTGCATACAGGCCATGGTGGTTCAGTGCATTACTTATTGTTTTCTTTGAAACAATCGTACCTGCTAATTCCAGGTCTTTCTGAAGCTCTCCACAAGTGGTCCTTGGCTCTTGGACAACTCTTCTGATAATTCTTTTCACTCCTCTGTCAGAAATCTTGTGAGGAGCACCTGGTCGTGGTCGGTTTATGGTGAAATAATGTTCTTTCCACTTCTGAATTATGGCCCCAACAGTGCTCACTGGAACCTTCAGAAGTTTAGACATTCTTCTGTAACCGATGCCATCATTATGCTTTGCAACAATAAGGTTGTGAAGGTCTTGAGAGAGCTCTTTACTTTTACCCATCATCAGATGGTTCTTGTGTGATACCTGGCCATCATTTGGGACTGAACCAGCTGATATTAACTTGCACTGACAAGGGGCAGGCTTGTTTTCTAATTACTGAGAGAGTTCAGCTGGTGTCTTGTCTTTCCATGCCTTTTTACACCTCCCTTTCTTTATGTGTTCAATACTTTTTCCCTGTGCCATTCCACATTATTACAAATAACTTCATTTCTGGACATTTATGGTTTGATTTCTTTGTATGTATGGATCACTTGGGTTGTTACCYACATCTGGTGAAAATTTCATGTCATTAGCACCTCTAGTAATATATTTACTGAGAAAAATGGTGACGTGTTCAATACTTATTTTAACCGCTGTAACTGGAATAAATAATAATAATAATAATAATAATACATCAAACTTTTATAGCGCTTTTTAGGATACTCTATGAGGCTTTCCAAGAGGAAAAAAAAAGTCAGGATGGGAAGGTCTTATAAATAAACAGTAGTTTAAAACAAATTAGCTAGACTGGTTATATAAATAAAAACTGTCTGCAGTTGGTTAAAGAAAGGAAAACTAGATGGCTTGCATTTATTTATTTACAGGCAGCTGCTCATTTTTAAATAGTTACTTAACTAGCTCCAACTTAAATGGTCGATAAAGACAGTGTTAAACTTCTAGTTTAAGAAAAATAAAAAAACGGACCGATTTCCAGTTTATTTGCTTTAGCTGATAAAAGATTATGCTCTAGCTAAAACACACTTTAACTAGCTTTTATTTATTGTTTACAGTAAGCTGCCTGTTATTAAAAATATTAACTAACTCCATCTTAATTGGTCGATAATGACAGTGTTAAACTTCCAGTTTGAGAAAAATAAGAACATATTTTCAGTTTATTAGCTTTAGCTATGTTTTAGCTAATAAACAATTTAGCTAGCGTTCATTTATTTATTGTTTACAGTAAGCTGCCTGTTATTTACAAATATTCTGATAACTGTGTTAAACTTCTGGTTTGAGAAAAATAAAAAGACGGACGAATTTCCCTTTTTGCGTRAGCTATGTTTTAGCTAATAAACATGTTAAATAGCGTTTATTTAATTATTGTTTACAATCAGCTGTCTGGTATTTAAAAATATTAACTATCTCTGCCTTAAATAGTCTGATAACGACAGTGTTAAACGTCCGGTTTGAGAATAATAAAAAGATGGACTGATTTCCTGTTTTTGGAGCATAAAATGAAAATCTGTTTTTGTTTTTTAACATCTGTTTTTAAAACAAAATAAAATGACCATAAAGTACACAAAGCACTTTGATTCTTGGACGCCGTCCTTTAGAGTTAGACTCATACTGGGAACYCCTTGAGAAGCTGGAGACTTCCCAGGGTTTCCCATGATGACCTCATCTCAGGTACATGGAGGGAAACGGAGCGACTGCAGAACATTTCAACACATCTATAAAACATCTTGTAGCTGAATCAAGGACTTGGATAGAAATATTTAAATAAAAATACGCCTTATTGCTGGAAAAAAAGAAAAAGCTTTRTCCAAAGAGAGAGCCAAATGTGAAAAACATGGATCTCTGCTGGTAGGAGGATTTCAGCTGGGAGGAGCTGAATCTAAACCTGCTGGTGTTTCAGTTCAGTTCCTTTAATAATTCTGCTTTTCTTTAAGGATCAGTCTGAGCTGTTTTAGATCTGAACATTTCTCTCGTTCAGGATCACTGTGCAAAGATAAAACCCATTAAATAAACGGAGAAAACGTTCGAACCTTTCGGTTCTCTTTGTTGGACGTTGGGTTGTTGGTGATCTTGAAGAGGTGCAGGTCGATCACTTCCTTCATCTCYTAGTTGTCTCCTCTGCGTTTACAAACGATGACGGCCGAGTCGAACAGGAAGATGTGCCTGAAGAGAAGACAAGAGAGACGTTTTGAGTTTCATCCAGAAAGGGTCGATAAAGAAGCAGCGGCTCAGTCGGCGGACGTCTCACCTGTCCTGTTTGGCTCGTTTGTCCACCGTGGACACCCGTACCTCCCCGTCCCCTTTGGGTCTGCCGTAATTACTGAGAGGTTGGTTCTGGAACGAAGGAAGCAGATAAACAAAGTGATGTAAGCTCGCCATGTGTCAGAACCAGCAGAACTCTGGTCCGAACAGACGAGGGACTCACCAAGTTTTCTATGGATCTCTGGTACTGGTCTATCTCCCGCAGCGTCTCGTTGTCCCTCTTGACTTCATTAACGTACTGAGCCAAGTCCTGCGCAGGAGGAACAATAAGAGCTTTTTATTTATTATTTTATTTGTTGCAGTGGGATCAGATTCAGTTTTTATTTTTTGCTAATTTCATACGTCACTGATGCTACAATTCAAATTATTATTTTTTTATCATTCTACACTCAGGTCTTTAGAACGCACATTTGCAAATGTAATGGTTAAAAATCACACTTCAGATTATTTTTACCAAAAACCCAAAGTGTTTAGGAGTAAATCCTTTATTGCATTGATTTTCTTTTTTAACTATTAATGACTGTTTAGTGTTGGGTTGTTTTAAAAAAAAACTCATTTATTGTAGGGGCCTAGTAACAGCTGGACGATATTTTTTGAAAATGAGTTACAAAATTAAAATAAATCCTGTAACTTTTGCGGAAAACAAGTGTCTTTAACATTAATCTAATCTACAAACCGAGGTTGTGTTACATTTCATGAGCTCCATGTCTTGTTTCCTGTTTGTGGTGTTTGTGGCAGCATCACAGTGCCCCCTGCTGGCCTGAGGCAGTTACTGCATGTTAGTTTTGTTTTATCGTTTTATCGTGTGGCTTAGAAACAAGTGAATAAAAAAAGATAGGATGATGAGATTAAGTGTTTACATTCACACCGTTTGGATTATCAATCGGCATAAACCGTCTCTCTCATTCCAATTACAAATTCATTCGGATCGAACTGAATATCAGAATAATCCAAACGGGGTGTTTACATGATGCATTTTTATTCCGAATGGCCGTTTAATCCGATTACTTATGTCCATGTAAACGTAGCTAGTGTTAAACTTCAGGTTTGAGAAAAATAAAAAGATGGACCGATTTCCCATTTTTGCATTAGCTATGTTTTAGCTAATAATGCGTTAAATAGAATTTATTTATTTATCGTTTACAGTCAGCTGTCTGCTGTTTAAAATGTATTTAACTAGCTCCACCATAAATAGTCTAACAACAGTGTTAAACTTACGTTTTGAGAAAAATAAAAAGACGGATCTATTTCCTGTTTTTGGAGTATAAAATGAAAATAGAATAAACATCTGTTTTTTTGTTTTTCAACATCTGTTTTTAAAATAAAATAAAATGACCAAAAACCCAAAGTGTTAAGGAACAAATCCTTTATTGCATTGATTTTCTTTTTTACTACTAATGACAGTTTAGTGCTGGGTTGTTTCTCAAGAAAAAATTATTTATTGTAGGGGCGGTTCACAGATAAATGCTGTTCTATAACAGCTGGACGATATTTTTGAAAATAAGTAACTAAGTGAAAATAAATCCTGTAACTTTTGTGTAAAACAAACATTTAAAAACGTCTTTTAACTTTAATCTAACCTACAACCCGAGGTTGTTACATTTCATGAGCTCCACGTCTTGTTTCCTGTTTGTGGTGTGTGTTTGTGGCAGCATCACAGCGCCCCCTGCAGGCCTGACATAGTTACTGCAGTTTAGTTTATCGTGTGGCTTAGAAACAGTAAATTGAAAAAAAGATTTTTAGAAAAGCGGCGTTCTTGTGGGGACATTTTTGTTTCTTTTACAAATTATTTATGGCTCGGCGCACGATAAGACGTGACAATAAACTCACCTTCATGGCGTCCAATGCCGTCCGTAGGTTAGTCTTCTCTGAGGTGTCGTGTGTGTGTTTCACCAGCTCCTGATACAAAAATAACAGAGAAAAGTCAACTATATGACAAATAAAAGATGAAAACATGGAAAAACATCCTGCTGGGAAAGCTCAACACTCATCAACTTAAAGAGTTTGTTACAAAAAGACTTGTGTCCTGAAATAAATCAGAGGCTGTGAGAGCGAGCTCGTATCTGAAATTGTTTGGCAAACAAGACATCTAGACCTGAGCGGGGACAGATAAGGACAGACGTCCCCCCCGTCCCCCCCAGCCCCACGCATGAGGTCCCACTCAGGGAGATATACTGTACGCTGCTCAAATCCTCGGTGTCAGTCAACCTGAGCATCATTATCACCCGCAGGACGACAGAAGCCTATTTATCAAACCTCCCTCCAACTCCCCACAGATACCAGGAGGACAGGAAGGAGACAAAAACAGGAGGAGAGAGAGAGAGGAGGAGAGGAGAGGAGAGGGAGTCAAGGAGAGAGAGGAAGTGACAACACATTAGTTGTGGAGATCCTGGCTGTCACTGTGGGAGAAAAGAACAGAGCAGATGCTTTATTCAGCACAGTTAGCTTTTAGCCAGCTGTTCGGCTCGTGTTGACACAACAGATTCACGTTCGTCCTGCTCAGCCTGCTTTTCTTCCTCTTAGGGGTGAATCTGCATCGTTTGCAGGACGATAGAGCAGGTTTTAGTGAGCCAGAAGGGATTCTCACTCTTAAAGTCACAAAGACGGGTCAAAGAAAAACGTCAATAAATAACAAAACCTGCAGAATATTTTTCTGTGTCGATGATTGTTTGTCGATGACAAAACTTGTGACTTTGTAAAACAAGCATTAAAGTTCACACAAAAAATCATACAGTACTTTATTGTAAAACCATTAAATGTAATTAAACTARATGAAATTAGCCTATAATTAGCTAATAAATTGCTAATAATTAGTTATTAACTAACTATTAAATAATAATTACTAATTAAAGATTTACTAATGATTTGCTAAAATATAACTTGATTAATTAAAGGTTATTAGCTAATGGCTAGCTAATGATTACATTATGATTAGCTAATAGTTTTTACTGATTAGATTATAATTCATTATTAGTTACCTAATGATTAGCTAATGGTTAGTTAATGGTTACCTACTGGTTAATTAATGGTTGTGAATGGTTAGCTAATGATTAGTTAAAGGCTATCTAATGGTTACATTATGAGTAGCTATTAGTTTTAACTGATTAAATAGTTACCTAATGATCCGGTTAGGTAATTATTAATTAATGGTTGTGTAATGGAACTAATCCTGCCAACAACGCCAATAATCTGTCATGGCAAAGTTTATCAAGAATGCAGAAACATGTTGGAATAAATGCACAGAAAGTCTGCGTGTATGGTCGTCAAATGATTTAATCTTGAGCCACAAACCRGACAGACTTCCTGAATGGCTTCTGTTTGTTTTGTTGCTCAAGATTAAATCATTTMACGACCATARACGCAGACTTTCTGTGCATTTATTCCAACGTGTTTCTGCATTCTTGATAAACTTTGCCACGACAGTTGATAATGGTTATTTATGTTAGCTAAAGATTWGTTAATGGCTATCTATGATTACATTAGCTTTTTACTGATTAGATTATAATTTGTAAATAGTTATCTAATGGTTAGCAAATGATTAGTTAATGTTAACTAATGGTTATTTTTGGTTAGCTAATGATTAACTAATGGCTAGCTAATGATTACATTATGACTAGTTAATAGTTACACAATGTTTAATGTACAGTCAGTTAATGATTACTTAAGGTTTGTTGATGATTAGTAAATGCTAGTTAATGAATAATTAATGTTAGCTAAAGAATAGTTAGTGTTAGCAAAAGATTAGGTAATGGTTAGCTAATGTTTACATTATGATTAGCCAATAGTTATTTAATGATTAGCAAATGGTTACCTAATAACTAGCTAATGGTTAGTTATCGATTGATTAAGGTTTTCTGATGGTTAGCTAATGAATAATTAATAGTTAGCTAATGATTACTTTGTTAGCTAATGATTAGTTTATGATAAGCTTATGATTACTTAATGTTAATTAATGTTTAGTTAATGTTAGCTAATGATTATCTACACAGCACATATGGTTGTGTAAAATCAACACTATTAGAGTTGACTGAACACCAAATATTTGTATCAGTGTATTTGCTGTGTAATAGTTAGCTAACAATTAGCTAATGGARGCTAATGATTACCTGATGATTAGCTAATGATTAGTTAATGATGAGGAGAAAAAAGTAATGGTTTTGTCTGGTTTAAGTAAATCAGGTCCTCCTGCTTGTTTCAAGATAAAAGTCTATATTTTGTATTTTTAAAGTGGTTATTATGTGTAAACCCAACCTGCAGTCTCAAAATAAATATATTAATAACATCAAAGTCCTACAAACACAAAAGAGACAGAGATGAGAACTGTTGCCACCCACTGTGAAGGAAAACAAAAAGTATCAAAGCAAAACAAAAAGGTGGTTGGATTTTTAACATTTTATGGAAATAAACTGTTGAAAGAGATGCCATTGTCTGAGACAGAAATAACCTTTGTTTAGTCAGCGTTTGTAAAATAAAAATATTTTTCCTCTCTGTGTTCCTGGAGCTGTTTGTCTCCTCCACGACCGTCTGGATCAGGAGAGGTTTGTGCAAAAAGAAGAAGCAGAAAAATCTTCTGAATGAGGACAGAAGCTGATAAAAACACAGACAGCGCTGCCTCTAGTGGACGACCTGAGTACTGATTGATTTATCTTTAGAGCCCGTTAATCCAGCTGAAATCACATAAATAATCTCAGGTTAGAGATAATTCCCTGTGTTTGCAGTTCAGAGAAGGAAAAAAACAATTTGTTATTTTTAGCAAAATATCTCATGAAGAGCTTGGACAGATTTGAATAWAACTCTCTGAAAGGAARGACTGGGATTACGTCTATAACTGATTAACTTTAGGAGACAAACTGATTCAAGATGGCCGCCACGTCTAATCAATCTRAAAAAAAAACAAAAAACTGACTACATGAAGGCTGGTGTTCGTTTTACAGCAGCTGCAGCAGAGTTTTAAAGTCGTACCTGCAGGAGGAGGTGATACTTCAYCACCCGCTGCATGGGAACAACCAGCAGGTCTCTCAGGGTGAACTTGCCATAATTGGCTCTCTTTGAGCACTCCTGCACAGAAAGAAGGAATAAATCAATATCATGTGCATTCAACATAAATCCTGCAGAGAATACATTTCACCAGCTCCCAGAAAAAAAATCTGTTTGTTTTATTTTGCATTTTTTACCAACAGCTGAGAATAGAGTAATCCTMTTACAGCTGCAGTGCTCCACACGCCCACCAGAGGGCAGTGTTCCCCCCTCACTGAGAACAACAGGAAGTTCTTACCTCCAGCTTCATGCGCACGTCCTCTCTGTGCCTGCAGATGTCATCCAGGGTGGCGATGGCGGTCTCTACGTGGCTGCAGTACTTCCCGTAAATCAACAACCTGCATCACATCAAACAGAAACACCTGGATTATTTAAGCCCAGCGAGGCGCAGAAACCTGCCGCTGCTTCATTATAAAACACCGACTCTGTCAGCGGCTAATAAAAATAAAAATAAAACCTCTCTTTGAAAGTGATGAAGATCTGGAACAGGTTCTGGGCACTTCTTTGGTGGACTGAGTCTTTGATTTCCAGCAGTAAACACTTGTGGACCTTCACCAGGTCCTGAGGAAGAAAAAACAAACAACAGTCACGTCTGGTTCTAATATTAGGACTTTATTTTTTAAATAAAAAGAATAAAAAGGTATAAATATGAAGTTTGTCATTAGAAAACATGATCTGGAAGTTGATCATTTGGACAAACAAACGCCTGACAGACCAAACAACAACCTGCTCAAACCTTAAAACCCTGGTTGTGTTTAAGCTCACGCTGTGCCGCCACAGTTCATTAGATCTGTTCACCCTCAGAGTACGAGCTGTGGATGACGCTCAGCTACTACCACACCACATATTAACTCCTTATCTGCAAACCTGACAGAGTTACAGACTGTCGATGTGTGTGTGTGCACGCAAAATTAACAAACTAACCCAGAATCTGACTGCTTTTAAGCTGTTTCAAATTAAAATTAGCTTTGATATAAAACTTAAAGTACCTGTGACGTTAAACTTTTGTAATAAATATTAATGTATTTTTGGAAAGATAACAGTGAGAACATGTTGCAAAAGAAATTTCATGACGCTGAGATAAACAGTTGTTGAGATATTTGAATTAGAAGTAACAGGAAGTGATGTCATAGGGGAATATCTGCATTTAAACAGAGCGTTGTTACAATAACTAACAATACAAACTGTAGAGAAGAATCTGATGTTTTTTAAGATTAATTTAAGAGATAAAGAGTCAGAGTGCAAATAATATTGTTTTAATAAATAAAGACCTTTTCTTAAAGAGTTCCCCTTTGATGTCACTTCCTGTTTCATTTAAACTGAGCAAAGTTCAAAAGAAAATATACCAGTTATGGGAGAAAAAATGGGTTAAATCGTGTGTATTGTTCCAAATTTCTTAAATATAAAGATGTTTTCTTTGACTTTTTGTATCTGAAGGTTCTGTACGTCACAGGAACTTTAAAACCGAACGAAACCAAAGTGAAAAAACTTACGGGGATATTCACAAACACCTTCTCCACCTCGGCCGCAGATAAAAACATGAGGAGGGGCGTCATGAAGTGCTGCAGCAGGAAGACAAGCAGAGACAGAGGGTTTGAGGGAGTGAGAGACAGGAAGTGGTCAGGCCCTGAGACGCTACGATGTGACCAGGCCCAGCTGCAAAACTGCTGAGTCAGCAGAACTGAGTCAGCAGAAACAACAGAGTCCAGCTCCGACAGTCTGCTCCTGTCTGCAGCTTCATGACCTCACAGCAAGTGTGCAGGACGTCTGCTGGGAAACCAGGACAGGGACTTTAACAGACCCACACAGGGGGGTCGGACCCCCTGCAGGGACCTGAAACTGCTGAGTCAGCAAAAAAAGAAACAGGACCCTGGTCCACCTGGTCCACCTGAGACTGCAGGTTCTGGTTTCTAACAGGACCCTGGTCCACCTGAGAATGCAGGTTCTGGTTTCTAAAAGGACCCTGGTCCACCTGAGACTGCAGGTTCTGGTTTCTAACAGGACCCTGGTCCACCTGAGACTGCAGGTTCTGGTTTCTAAAAGGACCCTGGTCCAACTGAGACTGCAGGTTCTGGTTTCTAACAAGACCCTGGTCCAACTGAGACTGCAGGTTCTGGTTTCTAAAAGGACCCTGGTCCAACTGAGACGGCAGGTTCTGGTTTCTAACAGGACCCTGGTCCACCTGAGACTACAGGTTCTGGTTTCTAACAGGACCCTGGTCCACCTGGTCCA